ACCAGTGTACACAATATTAGACAATCGATTATCAGAGATTTTGTGGCAGCATTCCTGAAGACAGTGTGTTCAATTTATGAAGAACAGCTAATCCTCCTGTCATTGGTTCTGCAGTTCATAGTTATAGGCTTGTAGCTTTGGTATTTTTAATATCTAGGCCAGCCATTCAGATTTAGTAAGCAACAGGATTAAACAAGGTTGCTCACGTATGTCAGCTTATTTAGGTAAATAATACCTCTAAAATACCAGAATGTTTTCAGATTGAGCATTTTCCTAGGCATGGGCATGTATGAGTTATTACTAGCTTTGAATGGAGGCCAACCAGATGCTCCTAACAGACCTCTCAAGCCATCAAGACAGCCACCTTTTTTTGATGTTGAATATGAAGCTTTCTACTTTTTCTTTCCTTGCATGTAATTCATTCAGATAATATTGAGAATGTGATATATCAGGAAACATGGGTCTTGGAAGAGGCTCCTCTAACTTTATTTTGTGCATCTTTTGGCTTAAAGTTTATCAGATGTTTCAATTTCAGAAACCACAGATCCTGATGAACAGCTGGAAATACTTCATGAAGCACTGAAGCTACTGCCGCCTGCGCACTGCGAAACATTACGCTATCTTATGGCTCATTTAAAGAGGTATTAAGTGAAAGGATCTGTCCTCAATTCAAGCCCACCAACCAATTGTTCCAGGTTCTTATGCTAACTGCTTCCATTTTTAAATCCTACATATACGATCTCTTGCTGATAACCTCTAGCTAAGTCAGAATAGGCGTAATGCAACCATCCTAGGTTTTCTTGATCTATCAGCAACCCTAGATGCCATTAATCCTAGTATCCTTCAAGGACATGTCCAACACAACTCCTGGTTTTCAGAGTGCCTGAAATGCTGATGCTCTCACTTCTCCTATCTACATATTGATAAAACTGTTGGGCAAAGACACCTATTGACTATCAGAGCACCCATGATGCTCAGCTGTATATTTTGGCCTCTAGTTGACCAAGTCTTGCTATTGAAGTCACATTCCAGTTCCTGGAGCCTCTTCAGGGATGGATTTGATGAGGAAGAATAGACTCAAAATCAAACCTGATAAGACCAAATAACTGGATATTTAGCTCTCAGTTCAGGTGGGATTGCACTCAATGGGATTGCACTCCTCCATTCAATGTTGTGTGCAACTTAGGGGCGTTCCTAGACTCATAGCTTGTGCTTGACAAGCATGTAGCAGCCTCACCAGGAAGGTCTCCACACAAATTCATCCAGTGTGCCAATTATTGCCCTTTCTGATCCAGACTCCCTTCGTATAGTATAGTTACTCACGGCTTGGTCACTTAGTGTGGTTAATTGCAACATGGTCTTCATGAAACTGTACTAGGAGATTAAAATTCATTCATATTATCACATATCAGTGGGGAACAAATGGGGGAGTGATTGCAGACTCCACCTCCCCCCCCCCATCCACCCATCTATCTGTTTTGTTATCATATTGATGTATACATTTGTCATTGTTTATTTTATTGTTCAATTATTCTACTTCTGTTTGCACTTCTTTAGTTTTCTTGTTTACTATTGTAGGCCACCTAGAGTAGCCCCACTGCGAGATAGGCATCAAATAAATTCAAGAAATAAATAAATATTACCAGATTAATGCCTTCTGGTGGTACATGCAGCATCCAGCATCTCCAATAATCCACCTAGCTTGTTTCATAGAATAATCTGTCTCTGTATTTGCATTTTTTTCTGTCTGATCTTACTTCACCATCTCTATCTGCTTTATTCTTAAGCTGGTGTATTGGCTGCATTTTCTAAACATGGAACCTCCACTTCATTGTTGGGAGTAATCTTATTTTGGGTGTTCCTTATTGTAATTATTTAATTGGAGGTATCTGAATTTGCAGTTGGAGGGACAGAATCCTGCTACTGTTCTGACTCCGTCCCTTTAAAATACCAGCTTGAAAAGTCAGTTCAGGGCAGAGTTGTCTAACTTCAGAATTCTTTGTTCCCAAACTTGCAGCTCCTGTCTGTCATTATAAGTGTCTGGCATGATTTAATTCCACATTAAACAGAGCCTCTGGGATGGTGTTTTTTTTAATGTTTTCTTTATAATTCATGAACTTTCCAATAATGGAAATTTAGTTATTTAATGACTAAATCCTTAATGGCATTTCTCTTGTGTTGTAAATCAGTAATATGCGTTAGAGCTTTTGTTTAGTCTGCTCAAAAACTAATTTACAAACGTGAGGGTTTTTTTCTGAAATAGGCAATTAGCCACCATAAAGCAAATCATGGCCTCTCAAGACAGCAGTTTGTATGTATGTTATGCCATTAAAACAGAAACAGGGAGGGGGCAGCTTTTTTGTACTGTACCCATTAACTAGATGCAGAAGGTGTGGGATCTGTGGAGGTCCGTCTTTCTTTAGTGGCTTTGGAAGTGGTTGGATTACATTTTACTGCTTTATGTCATGAGTGTAGAAGAGGTAAGGGTAACCTTTTATAACGGCACATGGTCTTACTCACTTCTAGACTTTTATCCTTCCTCTATGGAATTCATAATGGCACAAGAGTCTCAAAATAGCTTTTACTTGTTTGTATGTTGACTTTCCGAACATAAATCTTTTCAAACTTGTTTACAAGTAACATCCAAATACGTGTTTTAAAGCACAGTAAACCAAACAATACCATTCCATAAAGAATCATCAAGATCCTTTCCAAAGTGTAGCGGGAAAATAGGTGACTCAGTGGAGGGAAGAATTCTCCAAGCAGAACCAGAGCAAAAGTTGGGGATTTCTTTCCTTGACCCCCTCCCTCTTCTTCCTGCCTCGTTCATAGCTTTAAAGAGTCTAGCTGACCATATAGAAAATGGGGTGTCTGTCTAGTCCCCGCTGTGGTATCGGGGTGCAATGGACTGACCATTGCCACCTTTGTTGATCAAGCTCTCAGCCAAATTTTATTCTGTAAAATGCTTTTAATTTTCATGAAAAGGAAGCTACCATGATGCAAAACATAGCACCAGTCATAAGAATAAAATATTTCTGGTAATACCTTGGATATTAGACCCCAAAACATTGTTAGGAACTAAAATAGTGAGTGCTGAAGCCCAGTAATTTGTTTTGCTGCTGGTATACGGGTACAACACATCTAACATTTTGCGAGAATGTCTGCACCATGGTATAACCAGCATCAAAAAGTGAAAGAACCTTGTACAAGATGGATGGATTAGATAAATAAAGGTGAAGTAATGTTGGATAAAAGACCACCTAGCTCAGTCTCTTCTTTCTGCCAAAGAACAATAGCAATTTTCTGCCATTTTTACCAACATCTGATCTTCAGAGTTACTTTGCTTCCAATCACAGATAATGTTAGCATCGCAAGTACACTAAAAGCCCCACCTGGCACAAATTGGCCCAATCCATGATACCAGTAGATGCGTGAAATATTTCCTTGTATCATGAAATGTCTCATTGTTCATCTTTCTTCAATGATCCTGAATTCTAATATTATTATATGAGACAAGGAGGAAAGATCTCCTCGATTAAGACATTCAGTTTGATTTAAGGGACATTTATTAATACAAGAAGGAGTTGCCAAATATAAATTCAACAAACAAACAAATAAATAAATAATGTATTTATGTATGAATGAATAAATAAATAAATAAATAAATAAATAAATACCTATTCCTGTTAACTACAAATAATGGGCAGCTGAAGAAATGTCTTGCTATGTTGGCAGTTGTCTATGATGTGCAAGGAATCAAACATTATCAAGATTAAGATAGGTTTTGTGTGTGTGTGTGTGTGTGTGTGTGTGTGTGTGTGTGAAAGGGAGAGGGAGCGAGGGAGGGAGAATGAATCACCCTCCAGTATCTTATTCATAAGACATCTAATATTTTATTTTGTTGTTCTTCCCTTCAATTTGCCTTATTGTTTTCGCCTTATCCATAATTCTTTTTTCAGCCTTATTGGAGCATTTCCATAACTGTTCACTAGGGAACACTGTGAATTCTAATTTTGCACAAAGACTGTGGTTATGACCGTCCAAGCTATCTTTAATTTGTACTTCACGTGACCCTTTTCATTTCTGGGTCGACGAGATCACGATTGCAGCTCGTTCAAGCTTTTGCTTGCTCGCATTTTAATCACATTCTGTCTTATTCCAGGGTAACTCTCCATGAAAAAAAGAACCTCATGAATGCAGAAAACCTTGGCATTGTTTTCGGACCAACCCTGATGCGAGCGCCCGGGCTGGATGCAATGGCTGCCCTGAATGATATTCGTTATCAGAGACTGGTGGTGGAGATGCTTATAAAAAATGAAGATATTTTATTTTGAACTTGGAGTACGTGTGCAAGTGTTTCTTAGCGGATGGTGAGAAAAATCAGAGGACTGTGAATAATTGAGCCAGCTCCTGCGCCTGAATTTTTATTGTGAGGTTGTGCTGTGTGAAAGGTGTTTCTTATGTTGCTTTTGCCCATACAGAAAATATTGGGGAGAGGTGATCATATGCTCTGCTTCCCAGGATTTATCGCTGTGTGGGCTGTTTCATCCTAGTCCAGAATTTCTGTTAACCTGGTCTGCTCCTTGCTCACCTCTTTTGTGAGGCTTCTCCTACAAAGGGTAGAAGGAGAAGGAGTCAGCATCTGAATTCTGAAATAGTTTGTGACTGTGATTTAGCATGTTTCTCAGTGTCAATCTGTGGTGGTTTCCTGCTCTGTTTTGTAAATGGTCTTTCAGAGGGGGAGGGGGGAACAAACTCCAGAGAACCAGAACCTCTAAGTGTTTATTGACATCTCCTGTCATTCTTTTCCTACTTGAAGGATAACTTTTGTTGGATTTCATCACATTTATTTAACTGCCAGAAATGCATTTTCATGTATTAGAAACATACTCCGATTGCCATTTTAAGTAAAGCCTTTTAGTGTATTTCCAGCTAGAGATGGCAACAACTGAATGAATGAAAATGGCTTTGTGGTTTTCAGTTGTCTTTTTGTACTTCTGCTGGGCATGCATATTAATTTATTAAAGTTTTGCTTTAGAACCTTACCAAGCTTTATTTATTTATTAGGTTTTTATCCCACCTTTTTTTAAATATATAAATAAGTCATAACAGTAAACATACATAATGCTCCTCCATCCTCTTGTTTTCCCCACAGCAACAACACTGAGGATTAGGGTCTCCACATTTTTGGCTAATTTTCCAGCAGTGCCAAATCATTTTCTATGTTATGAAAAACCCCTGGTACATCAAATCTATTACACACTTTTGTGTCATCAGAAAAAAGACAAACCTTGTCTAGCAATCCTTCTGTTGTCCCAAAAGTGCTATTTCAGGAAGAACCTGGACTCCAGTTGCATCCTGAAAATGCACCTTTGGGACAGTCGTGACCTGGATGACTGAGAATCTCTATAGATAATCCTTCTGTTGTATCCATGAACCGTGGTGGTGCAGTGGTTAGAATTCAGCATTGCAGGCTATTTCTGCTGACTGCCAGCAATTCGATCCTCACAGGCTCAAGATTGACTCAGCCTTCCATCCATCCGAGGTGGGTAAAATGACCCAGATTGTTGGGGGCAATATGCTGACTCTGTAAACCTCTTCAGAGACGGCTGTAAAAGCACCGGGAAGTGATGTATAAGTCTAAGTGGTATATCAGTTAACAAATACATTGAACAGGATCTAGGACTGATCCTTGCAGTACACCAAGTATGATTAGTCTCTATTCAGACAGAGCCCCATTAACAATCACACACTGGAATCAATCCCTGAGCCAACTTCTATCCACCCAAACATCAGATGGTTAAGCCTTAACCTGTACAACATTTTTATGAGCACATTACATGGAATTGTATCAAATGCTTTGCTAAAATCCAGCTCAGCTATTTCTACACTACCCTCTTCATCCAAAACATTTTTGGCACAGTTAAAAAAGTCAATCAGATTAGTATGACATGATCTGCACTTGGTAAAGCCATGCTACTTTGGGTCCATCAATTTGTGTGCTTTTAAATGTTCGTTAATCCTTTCCCCCCAAAAAAAAGTGATTCCATTAACTACAGATGTTAAGCTCACTGGCCTATAGTTTCTGGCTTTCAGAAATATTGTAAATAATGTAAATTTAAGAGACTCATTCAGATTATTTCAGATATAGTGGACTTGGTCCAGGGAGCAGCTGGATGCAGATTTTGTCTATAGGTAAAAACCCAGACTTATTACCTTTGTTTAGCAACTGCTTGAAGTTACAGCAGTACCGAAAAAAATGACTTTTGACTTAAATGTTTAATTTTTTTAAAAAAAAGTAAGTCCAAAACATTATACTTGTTCATTTATGAACCAAACCAAATCAAATGAACCAAAACTATATATTTGTATGTGGTAAAAAGGGGGGTTGTATGTATGTAGAAATACTGAAAATTCTAAAGGTTGTATGTAGAATCTTTTAAGTACCGCAGTAGTTGGGCTTAAAGAGGCAGGATTTCATGACTCCAACTCCAGTTTATTTATGGTTTATCCTGTCTTTATGTTTTGTTATATGCCTAATGCTCCCACCTCCTATTTTTTCCACAACAACCCTGTGAGGTGGGTTGGGCTGAGGGAGAGCGACCGGCCTAAAATCACTCAGCCGGTTTTCATTTCCAAGGGAGAACTATTATAGAATTCATCACCTCCTGGTTTCAAGACCATCACCTGTGTCACTTCACCAAACTGGCTCTCTTCCAAACTGAGGAACACCTGAGCCATGTGCAATTGAAGTACTGCATAGTTCTGCGAAATAATTAACTAGCTATAATAACAGAACTACTTCATTAAAGTTTGTCCTTCACCCACATTTCAAATCATTTCATGTGACTCTGCTCCCTTTTATTATGACTCAGCTGTTCAAAGGCTGGAAATGAAAGTTACATGCCTTAGAGGAAGAATTAATACTGGTCAAAATCCCAGAGGGGAGAAATTGCATTATGTTAACGAATCAAGTAAAGTAGCTCAGGTCCCAGTGGAAGATCAACTCCTTAGTAAGGACACTCATTTTCCTCCTCTGCTAAGATATTCACCATAAGCTACCCTTCTTTGTCCTGACTGTGGTGTACAGTCCAGAATTTTGTGGCCTACCAGAAGAAGAAAAAATCAATTAAAATGAACTTCACTATGCACTTAAGCTACCAATTTCTTTTTTTGATAAATGGATATAGAAAAGATGCTTTACCCTTCAGATAGGTCCTGCATAAAAGTACCAAGAAGTGTGTTCACGTGATTCCCATTTCCCTCCCCTTTTTCTATGTCTTCTTCATTTTATGTTAAAGAGTTTGTTGGCGTCAAAGTACTCCAGGCGTAGAAATACGGAAATAGCACCTTCTTCCTGAGTGCAGACTTATTCCCAGAGCAGAAGATTTTCTCATGTTAAATGGAAAGTGACTATCCCAAGATTGCATGTGAACGCATTGAACAAAAATGCAAAAGTGTGCTGCAGTGATGTATTCTCTGCATGCAAGTTCCAACAGCATATTACTACATTTACTTTTAAGTGCAGAGAGGCAGATTTTAGGTAAGAGCTGGATCAGACTATTCGTTTTTCCCACAGGCCTTGTCAAGAAGGAAAGACCAGGTAAAGTGGAATTGGGTGGCATCTTGCAGTGAGCATATGATAAATAGAAGGAAAATTAAACTTTCTTTCATCCAGTTTGACCTCAGCTCTCCCTGAGCACGGAAAGGAAATTCTTCATCTGAATATCTGAAACAAATAGCTTGGCACATGCACCAAGAGGAATCCTGTGCAGGGAACATTCCATTGGGCTAATGTAGATTTTCGTTGAGCTGAATATATTTCAGCTATTATTGAGTACAGGTTAATGCTGGGCCATGGGTCTGCATACAACGTCATCACTGCCTCAGACTTCCACAATAGACTTAATATTCTTAAATTAGGCCACCTATGTGTCACTCAAAGAAAAAGGGTAGACATGCAATCTTAAGACATTTCTTAAAGCCCGTGCTTTATCTTGTTTTTATGCATTTGCGTGCTCAAGTCCTTGAACGACAGGTGCATTCTGACATGCTTAATGGAGGCAGTTTTAAAATATTTAGGGGGAAAGATTTCACTAAATGTTACTTTTGCCTGACTTCAAAGATTTCTCAAACGGGGACTTCCGGTTTGTCGGCTTCGCGAGCGGCAGGGATTCGCGAAGCTGCGCGATCCCTGCTGCGCTAGCCGCTTTTGGGGCTCCGATCCGGACGGGTCCGGAGCTAGGCTGCCCTGCAGGGGCAGCTGAAGATAGGGGGGATCCGGAGAGGGGTTTGGGGGTGTTGAGACCCCCTCCCCAGCCGGCAGAACCCCCTTTTCCCAAGATGGTGCAGCGGCGGTCCGTAATGGCCGCCACAAAGAAGCTGGCAGCCGGGTAAGAATGCGCAGGAGGAAGTGGAGAAAGTTTTTGAAAGGAGAAAGTTTTTCTTGGTTCCTAGGACTCTAAGACATATTTAACAAAATTCCTGAAAAGTATGACTTTCTGAATGATACCTTCTAGAAGAGGAAAAAAGCGGCAGTTTGGTGGTGCTGAAAGGAAAGCTTACCCTCCTTTCCTACGGAATAAATAAGTGGATATTAAGAAACCTATTTTTTTTTTAGGTGAAAACTGGCTTTAAGCGATGAGTGGGAAGGGAGAGGATTAACAAAAAAATATTTGTATGCTAAGACTTTGTTGGAGGAGATGCCTTAAGGATTTGAAGACTAAAATATATTGCAATAAGATTTTAAGAAACAGATTTGGACTTTCTTTTTCTTTGATTGATACTACCCCAGGAGGAGAAAGTGAGAACTCTGCCTTGGTTTGGACTGACTGATAACTTTGGGACTGTTTTATTTTTTCTTTGGAATATTCTGGTTGTTGTAAGAAGAAAGAAGGGGAAAAGAAAAGAAAAGATTTATAATGGCTCTTTCTATTGAGGAACTGAGAAAAGATTATGAAGAAGCAAAAAAAAATGGTAAAGCTGGTTTGAAAGAAGCCTTCCTTTTTTTAGAAATGGCGCTTTTTAACTATCAACAAACATTACAACAGATGAAGATAGCAGAAGAAGAAGAAGGAGAGGAAGCCATTTTTAATAAATTTCAGAACGCGACCAAGAAAGAAGGAAGAGGAAAAGGAAGAGAAATAAAGGACTTAAGATTTAAAAAAACACTCAAGAAAGGGAAAAATAAGGTACAAAATCAATATAATGATAGTAAACAAAAGGGAAAAGGAACACGACAGAGAAGGGAAGCCAGTAAGGCAGAGGCTAGAAGAAGGGGGGGTAGAAAGGTTTGTTGGGAGAAGAAAGGAAGGGAAAAGGTGGAGAAAAGCTACAAAGTTTTGAAATTAAATGGGAAAAAAGGAATCTTTTTTAGGGATAAAGGATATAAAGTATAATTTCTTCAAAAAGATTTTGCAAGGTACATAAGATGATATTGTAGTATTGTATTAGAAATAGAAAACTTAAATGGTTTAAGAGTTGATAAGAGATTAAAATGTTGAAATGTTTAATAATGATTGGTTTTAAAATTTAATAATATGAGGGGAGGTTTAGAATAGTGAGTTTTAATTAAAGAGTTTAATAAGATTATGGTATTGATGTTATTATAAAATTTATATTATAGTATTTGTTTTTAATATTTAGATCTATTGTTTAACTATGTATTTAATTATTCTGGATGTACTATTTAGATAGAATGTACCAAGCAAAATCGGATTGGGTATTGGGCGTTATTTTAAAGGTTAATTTGATTAATTTAGGGGGGAAATAGAAAGGCATCATACTCTGATTAGTGATTTCAGGAGAAACTTCTTTTTTTTTCTATAAGGAACGAGACAAAGGGACAATAAAGAATGGACAAAAGATACAAATATAATGACTCAAATTAAGATGATTAATTAAGATAGAATTAAGAAGAGTGAAATATGTGGAGAAGTTAATATAGAAGACTTAGAATGGTAAATAAAATAAGTAATGATATGTAAGATGAGCATGAATATAATTGAAGTCCATGAAGAGAGAGAT